AGCTGTTCATGCAATAAACATTATTCATCATTCAATCCTCTTGTCGATAGTGACTGGTACATTGGATAGTTTCTACAATTGTTTTGCTATTATTTTAATGGGTGTTTGTGTTTAAATGGTTGCCGTTTTCGGATGAATCACTCTTTTGTTTATACAAATGATCATGATGTACAGATTATATCGGTGATCATTCATTGCCTTTTCACTCCATCCAGTTGGAGTTATGTTTTGCTTGTGCTATAAATGCCGTTTCTCATCTAGACTCGCGTATTTGCAAGCGCTAATAACCATGCATATGTTTGCTATTTGCAAAAACCATCATACGTTCACCTCTGTGTTTGGTTTTATGTTTGCGTTCACTCGCCAACTGTCAATAATATGTGTGCTATTTTCAGTAATTGATTATCATATATTCTACTTACATGTTTGCGACGCAAGCCACGACACTTTCACTTTTCACCATCTGCCTCATATTACTGTCTGCGATAACGATGGCTTCAGGCGTAGGAATGCCCGGTGGTTGGACACAGCAAAACGTGGATAGCCAAGATATCAAGGTTGGATTTCATTTTTGAAGATCTATTCGATTTCACAAATTTTATTCGATGCCAGTTAGATATCACTGAAACGAGCGTGGAAATTTTTGACGTTTATTTATAAATCCACTACAATTCATCATTCTTTGATTGCTTTCATTTGAGGTCAGTTCGAGATTTTAAAAAATTATTTTCTGTTTTCTGATGCATTTACATCTGTGTCGAATTATCTAAGTATGTGCATATTTTTCTTCACTGTTATGTGCACCTTTTGTTTGGTACGTGTTCAAGTGGTAGAGCAACCGCAGACTACTGCCATTTATTCTAGGAAATTTAAATTTTCAGGAGCTATCGTCACGTGCAATGAAGAGTGTCAATCAGCAAATGAATGACATCCACTATTGGATTCCAATTAAGATATTGAAAGCTGAATCACATGTTGTGGCTGGAACGGAGTATAGACTCGAAATTCTTGCGGCTCAAGCAGACTGCCTTAAAAATGTAAGAATGTTGCAGTTTTCTTTGAATTTTTTGGTTTAATTTTCATGTCACAGTTTACAAAATTGTTACGGTTTTGTGGTTTTATTGGAATTGCCACATTGTATTAAATTGTTGTTTGGTTTGTTGTTATTATGGGTTGCATAACTGAACTTCGGATGAATTAGACGATGTATTTTTCAGCAAATTTCTGCAGCGGATTTCGATGCAGCAAATTGTGCCGAGAAAGAGGGAGGCGCCAAGAAGGTTTGTGAACTTTCACTCATTTTAGTCAGTTGACATGCCTCTGGATTTAATGCCTGTTATTCATGAAAGGGAACGGTCAGGTTATTGTTTCGTGTGATCTTGCAAAAGCGGTAGTAGCAGCCAACAAACGCTACACACAAAAATCAGTTTGAGTGGTGAATTGGCTCACTGGAATACTACCGATTTGTTGTGGTTATCATTGCACTCATTGGCGTTGTTGTTTTGCAGATTTTCACCGTGAATGTCTGGTCAAAACCATGGGAGGACAACTTCGAGAAAGTCACGGTCACTGCGCAGAAAGCTGTCGAGTGAAGAGTGTTGCGGTCGAGAACGATTCCGTATCAAATACGACTGATTCATTCATTTATCGTTACTCACACATCATCCTTGAATGTATTCAATGTTTAATTTTCATTCGATTTATCAGTTGTACTTCAACTCTAACTCCTTCTTCTCTTTCCATTATTTTCANGTATTTCGCATAATTCTTTATGCCTTACTTTTCAATCAATTATGCATTTTGTATGAAAACGATTATTGAACGGAAGGGGTTGTAATTTTGTAATATTGTATACTCACATTGCACCTTGTAAGTTTTTTTTAAGCTCTATGGGAAGCAGTCATTCATGATGAATTTGTTGTTCTGTAGTGTTTTTCACTTGTATCGAATACAGTCTTCTCATTAGTTCGCTTTTTTGAATGTATCAAAATCGTTCAGTTATACGTGGATCGTTAAAATCGTGTTTTAATGAGATGATTCATTCATGATTCATTGTTTTCTTCGATAATTTTACACTTTGTCGCACTCAGTAATCAAATAAATCCTCATAAGCTTCTTTCGTCGTTTCATTGTCGCATACGAGGGGATTTGATAAACGGCTACCAGACGACAGAAAACTAAGCTCTCTAAAAATAAAACTATCTCAGTGAAGTGTCAGAGGGTGGAGTTTCTCGATGTGCACTAGGTGGAGTGTTTCCATATTTCGTCCGTCTCATGTCTGCTGCGGATGTCTCTCATACGTTCTTCGTTGATCACGAAATAAATTCGCACACTCGAGAGCTGACATTTATTTCGCTGTCATATATGAATGAATGACATGCAATTCGATGTCAGCAGAGGAACAGTTTCTGAACCGTCATACGCATCGCTATTTTTTTAGTTATACATTCGTGTTCAACTCGATTTCTGTGAATGTGCATGATATTTTCAGTAATTGACTGTCATATCCTACTTGAATGCTTGTCGAACAAGCAATGAAAAAAGCCAACATGCTTCACCTTTTCACCGTATGTTTCATAGTACTGTCGGCGATAACGACGGTCTTAGGCGTAGAAACGCAAGGTGGTTGGAAAGAGCAGAATGTGGATAGCAAGGACGTCAAGGTTGGATTTCATTTCAGTTGAACTGTAGTCGGCTCGAAAAACTTAATTAGCAATTAGGTATCACTGAAAGTTTGAAGTTTATTAACAAATCCACTATGATCCGTCGTTTTTTATTGGCTTTTTTTAAGGTTAATTTGAGATTGCAGAAAAACTGATTTTGTGGCTTTTCATGCTTTCCGACGACCGGAAATTCTCAGCTGTACAACCTGCCGCATTTCTACTCTTTTTGTTTGGTGCGTGTTCAAGTGACAGGGAACTTCAGTTTACTGTGAAATTTCAAAAATTAAAATTTTCAGGAGCTAACGACACGTGCGATGAACAGTCTCAATCTACAAATGAATGATCTATACTATTGGATCCCAATTAAGGTATTAAAAGCTGAGGCNTAGCAATTTTCTTTGACTTTTTTCGTTTATTTTTCATATGTCACAGTTCGAAAATTGTTTCCGATCTTGCCGTTCTATTGAAATTGTCGCTCTGCATTAAAGTGTTATTTGATTTGTTGTTATTACGGATTGGATAACTGAACTTCGGAATGAGAAGTGTCACAAAGAGATTTCAAAGAAATTCTCTGGATTTCTACGAGAGTATCTTTAAAGATTTCATGCACATATCATGGCTATCTCGGGTATAGATACTATTGTAACAATATAATTTCTCATTGAAAATTTTCGAAAAAATTCTGGATATGTTATAATGGGTTTTCAGAAGGTTTCTTTCAAAAATTTCGAGGCAGCAAATTGTGCGCAGAAAGAGGGAGGTGATAAGAAGGTTTGTGAAGTTTCATTCGTTTCAGCCAGTTGGCCAGCTTCTCTGTTTCACGCCAGTTATTCATAGGTTGTTGTTCGTATGGTGTTGCAAAAGTGGCAGTATCAATCAACAAACGCTCCACACAAAAATCAGTTTGAGTGCTGAATTGGCTCAGTGGAACGCTATTGATTTGTTATGGTTATCGTTGAACGCACTGGAGCTGTTGTTTTGCAGATTTTCACTGTGACTATATGGTTGGAACCGTCGAAGAATTCCGGACAGGCCACGATCATCTCGGTGGGAGACGCTTGAAGAGTGTTCATGCCTGCAACAATTTCGTATTGAATGCGACTAATTCGTTCATCGCAATTTACACGTCTCATTGAATGCATTTTCATTCAATTTATCATTGTTTTTGAGTTGTACTTTAACTGAATTTTCTTTTCCATTTCTCACAATCAGGTAAACGGTGTTTGTAACCCGCATAATTTTATCTGCCTTACCTTT